GCGTTGCTGAAGCGTGGCATGCATGTGGAGCCGCTGGAGAAGTGGTCCAAGGTCGGTTTACAGGTGTTTGAATCAAATGTTCCAATAGCGGGAACTATCGAGTACCTTGCCGGGCAGTACATGCTGCAGTCGGCGGTATCGTTTTTGCCTGTGATGGCGCTCGCCCCGCAGGAAAAGGAGCGTGTTCTTGACATGGCCGCTGCGCCTGGCGGAAAGACTACATATATTGCTCAGCTGATGAAAAACACAGGTGTATTGTTTGCCAATGATGTGAGCGAGCCCCGTACGAAGGCGTTGAATGCCAACCTGCAGCGTCTTGGGGTGACAAATACGGTGGTGACAAACTACGACGGTGCTGGCTACAATAAGATCATGAAAAACTTTGATCGTGTTCTCCTTGACGCACCGTGCACAGGGAGTGGTATTATCTCACGGGACAAGAGCATCAAGAGCAGTAAACACTACGAGGATGTTCAGCGAGCCTCGCAGCAGCAACGAACGCTTCTTCTTTCCGCCATTGATGCGGTGAAAGTTGGTGGCTACGTTGTTTACTCCACCTGTTCGTTTCTTGTGGAGGAGAACGAAGCGGTTGTGGAGTTCGCGGTGCGTCGACGCCACGTGGAAATTGTCGAAATGGGACTTCCGTTTGGTCGTCCCGGGCTTACGAAGTACCGCCACCACCGATTTCAAGAAAAGATGCAGTGCTCCAGACGCTTTTTTCCGCATGTGCATAACATGGACGGATTCTTTGTGTGCAAACTGAAGAAGTTGTCCGATGACTGTCGTCCAGAGGCTCAAGACATTGCCGCGGTGGAGGAGACGAAGAATGGCGTCTCACGTCGTGCGAAGAGTGGAATGAAGGGAGCCGCCAAGCGACAGCGCGACGGCAGCGCAGACATCGTGGCGACGGAGTCAAGGAGGGAAAGCCGCATAAGCGTTCCTCCACCGACGCCAAGGGGCGGCAGGAAAAAGCACCGTAAAGTTTGAGAGGAGAAAAGAGCGAGTGACAGTCGTGCTAATAATTTATTCCTAATATCTTTTTTACCGTTTAATCGGAATACACAACCACTCTCCCGTGTGAACGCATCCGACATATTTTTTTTTGGGGGTGGCCATTGTGGCGTGCCTCTTTTTTTTTTTTTTTGTTGTTGTTGATGGCTTTTCTTGGCTTCTTTTTTTCAACGATGGCGTTTGTCTTGTTTTTGTTGCGGTGAAGCACGAAAAGAACAAAAAAAGAGGGGGGAGGGGCGGGAGTGAGTGAGTGTCTTTTGTGTAATGGCTCCTCCGTCTCCCTCTGCCTGTGATCCTCGTGTTTACCTCCATGAGAGGGTTCGGCAGCACTATTTGGAGGTGCTGCCTTCACGCTGGCGTGCTGTTCTCTTCCGATTGGCGAAAAACACTCAATTGCGACAGAAGAACGATGTTATTGTTGAAACTCATCTGCTCTCCGAGATACAAGCCGACTTTGACCTCATCCATGCACTATTGGATGAAGAGCATCGTGTCTACCGGGAGGGCGTGGCATGTCTCTGTTCTCAAACATCGAATGGGAAATCCGAAACGGAACGATGGACTGCTTCCCGTCATCTCCTGCAGGGGATGCTTTCTTGCATTGCGATGAAGGAGATTCTTATTGCGCACTGGAAGAACGATCTTGTGGACATTTCCCCCAACACACTGCGTGTATATTGCCATGCATGTATTTCTCATCCACACGTGTCTGAGACAGATATAGAGCGGCTTTTGGCCCTTCACACAGTTTCCTGATAATCAGCGTTTATTTGCGGTAGTCCTCTAGTGCCTCTTCTTTTTTTTTTTTTTTTTTTGATGCCATTTATTTATTTATTTATTTGTTTAGTGATGTTTCTTATTTTTATTATTTTTCTTTTTCTTTTTTATTTTTTCCTTACATTTTTTCTTTAGTTTTTGGTGGTTTTGATTGTGTGTACTGGATGCGCCGGGCATGGATGAGCTCTATGTGTTTCTCCTTGACTGCGGTGTGTCTTGTAAGGAATATGTGTTGAGTCGTATGCATGATTTCCGAGAACTGCTTGGCGTTTGGCATCAAATTGCCTTGAGGATGTTTAAAAGTACGTTTTTGGCTTCCGCTGCCATATTTATTGTGGTCCTTGTTGTGTTTTTTACACTCATCGGATGTGTTGCCTTTTCACTTGTCGGCTCAGTGACTATACGGCACTATATCCTGTCGCACGCCCCTGGAAATCAGCTAATGTCACTTACATTCAATACAATGCCGTTTGAGACGGAATTATGGCGATTGCGCAAGGTGGATGCCATCGTGTCACATCTCACATCCCAACCGGAGTCATTGCTCCAACGCAGCGACGACTCTCTCGTTGTATCCACGAAGGAAACGACCGACAAACAACTGACATCTTCCGTTGCGGGGCAGGCTGCCTCTCTTAAAATGTCACTCATAGAGCAGTACGTTAAAAACACACTGGCGACAAGCACGTTGATTATTCCTTCATTGGCTCAGAAAGAAGTGTTTCCTCCTGGTGGTGGCGTTTCCATTGAGGCACTCTTTGAGCAAAAGAAGCCTATGTTCAATGCCAAGGGCGTATATGACGCCAAGATGCAATTTGTTTTCATGAAGGAAGATGCGGGCCGCGACGTTTCAATGGTGTTGGAGTCCGCTGTTCTGTTTGCCGAGGATCCCGATGTTCCCCAAAGCCTGGCTGCGTTGGATGTCCTTTTAAAGACGACTACCTCCTTCACCGTTACAACCGGTGAGAAGGAAAGTCATGTACTCATACGGCTGATAAAAATGTCCCTTCGTTTTGTCTTTTTTGTGCCGTTGTGGATGTATGAGACGTTTTTCTTTTCGCTGCGTTACGATGTCTTCCCTGGTGTTGATCCATTAACGGAGGTGGCGGTTGTATCGGACGTTTACACGGACTTTGAGCCGCCTCTCGCCCTACAACCTCGGCTTCGCGCCATCAACTTTACATTGTACCAGCAAGGAGGGCATGTTATGAATCGGGCGCGGCTTATTAGAATGCACTTCTTTACTACTGTTCATCTCACGGGTCTTGCGTACTACTTTTCGACGTACAAATTGATTAGTTTTATGTGCACGACTTTGGTGCTATTCACATGCTTCTGTGCTATTGCAATGGGACTTGTTTTTGTTGCAGGAGCCGTGATTGCCTCACACTATTTGCGTGGTGGTAGTTCCGCCGCTCAAGATGGTGAGCCTCCGTTTGAAGATGAAGAGGGTGAGGAGGAAGAAGGAGATTTGATTGAGAGGAAGCATCTTTTATCTTTGCATCACTCCGCGACGACGTTGTTACATGATGAGGATTTAGCCTCTAATTTGACGGGGAGTAGGCAGGAGTCATTGTTTCATTTATATGAGGCGAATTTGCCTCTTGCAAAAGAAAAGAAATCCAAGTAATTCTCTTTTATGCTTTATTGGGAAACCGAAAGAATGAGAAAGAGGGAAGGGGAAGAGCACAAACTCCCACCTGTGTGTGTCTGTGGGCGGTGGAATGCTGCCTTCACGGATGAATTTGTTTTTCCACACTGCGAGACAATATTTCTACCTTTTATTGTGTTTGTTTCTCCCCCTTCCTCTTGATTTCGATGGAAGGTCTGCTTGCCACTTTTTCTTCCTTTTTTTCTCTCTCCCTCTTTGGGGGGCATCTTTTTCCTTCTTCCCGCAACACAAATGAGGTTTTGTGGCCGCCATGACGTTTGATGTGGTGAGCTACACCAAGGCCCAGCAGCGGCGGCTGGAGGAAATACGTCGCGCAACGGAGAAGGAGCGCCAACTGCTCGCTCTTTATGCAGGCAAGTTGGCGCACGGCACGCATGCTGTTCCCATCCCACCGGCGGAAAGCGCACAGACAACTGCAGCATCGAGCGACGGCGGCCGATGGCTTTCGCTTAACGACAGGGCCATGGAGCTACACGCGTTGGATGAGAAGTTACTGTTGGAGGAGCGGGAGGTGGAACGGCAGACGTTTGAACTCGATGGACGTCTGCACGCGGCAGAGCGGAGGAAGGCGGAATTGCTCTCGCAGCTTGCGCTTCTTCAGCATCGCGAGGCGCTACTAAAGAAGGAGGAGGAGCTTTTGGAGGGAGCGGAGTCCGGTGCTCAGCGAGCGTCGCGGGACATTGAGGCCCTCTCGCAGGAGATGAATGAGGAGCAGCGTGCTGTGGAGGCACGCGTGGGTGAGAAGCGCACCCGCCTTGCCGCGGCGAAATTGGCCGCGCGTGATCAACAGAAGAAAAGGGATGCGTTAGAGGCACGTAGTCGCCTGCAATTAGAGGAGGCGCAGGATCGTATCCGGGGGCATCGGATGGAACTGGCAAGACTCGGCAGTGCGGTGAATGACAAGGAGAGGTGGCTGCGGCAGGAACAATCCCGTCTTCGAGAGGCGGAGCTCGCCGCTATTTGTCGGCTGAAGAAGGACATTGAGCTCATGGCGATATCTCTTGATGACAACACGGGGCATCACTAAAAATAAAAAGGAAAAAAGGAAAGCTCTAGAGAAGTAAGCCGAATGAAAAAAAAAGGAGAAAAAAAAATAATATGTCTCATTTGATTACTTCTTTCTTATTTTCCCTGCGTGAGCATACGCCCTTTTCTTTCTTGTATCGTCGAAAATGAAACGTCATGCGTTATCATGCCATATGTCTGGCGCTTGGCGGACGTGGTCTGTCCGCACCGCCAATTTGCGCCCATCGCATTTCACGGAATTATTATTATTATTATTTCCTTTACATTATTTTTTTTTTTGTAGTATTTCTTTATTTTATTTTTTCTTACAGTATTATTCTGTGCTTTGTGTGTTGTTGGGCACATTTGTAACGAAGACAAATTTGGGCTGAAATGGACGACGAGCTTCTGCTGCAGCTGAATGAAACCGAAGAATTTGTTGAGGACGGGGCGGACTACACCGTAGACGGTGAGCATGCCGGCTCCACGGACATTGACAGTGAAGATATTTGGGAGATCATATCCTCCTTCTTCCGGGAGAAGGGGCTTGTGCACCAGCAGATTGACTCGTACAATGACTTTCTCCTGCGTATTCCCCGCATGGCACGCAGCCTGCTAGAAATTGTGCCGCGGCAGGACGAACAGTTTGAGCCCGGCACCCAAACGGAGACGGAGCCCGACCAATACCGACTCAGTCTCGAGGACGTTGTCATTGGCAACCCGTCGCACGAAGTCTCCGGCTTCAGTCGACGCGAGATGCATCCTCTCTTTCCCAACGAGTGCCGGCTACGCGATCTAACCTATGACGCCAACGCACAAGTCACGCTTGGCATTCGTGTTTACCGTTCACGGGAGGAGCAGCCGTACCGCACTTTTTTGCAAAACATGGAACTTGGCCGCATCCCCATCATGTTGAAATCCATGCGGTGCAATCTGCAAAACAAGGACGAAGACGAGTTGCCACGTCTAAACGAGTGCCCACATGATCAGGGCGGCTACTTTGTCATAAGTGGAACAGAGAAGGTCCTCATTGCACAGGAGCGTCAAGCTGCCAATCACGTCTATGCCTTCTCACGGCAAAAGGGGCTCTTGTGTGAAATTAAATCTATTGTGGAAGGTTCATTGAATAAACCACGTACGCTGCAGATTTTAATGCCGTACAAGAAGAAGGGACCAGGTCACGGCTACGAGAATCTCCTTTGTCGTGTCGCACAGATGGATGAACTCATTCCTCTTTTTGTTTTGTTCCGTGCTCTTGACATGGGGTCGGATAAGGAAATTCTCCAAACTGTGGTTCCTGATTTAAAAGATGCCGCCATGCTTGAAATGCTCCGAGGCTCCATGGAAGATGCAAGCACATTGCAGATATTTACAAGGGATGAGGCGCTGTGGTTCATTGGCAAGCGCCTTGGTAAACAAGACAGTAGAGAAAACTTGCAGCGTGACGCGCAGGGGTTGTTGATGCGGGATCTGCTTCCGCATATGGGTGTGGATTGCGCCGCCGATCGGAGCAAATGTCTCTTCATTGGATACATGGTTCATCGTCTTTTGTTACTCGCGCTGGGAAGAAGGGAGGACACGGACCGTGACTTTTTGGGCCATAAACGTATTGATGTTGCCGGGGCACTGCTTACATTTCAATTGAACCAATTTCTTGTTCAGGTGCGGAAGGAGATGGCAAAAACAGTGCATGATTACTCTACCAACCGCGGTGGTGTTGTCAGCTTTGGCAGAATTCTGCACAGTCGCCTCATCACGGATGGATTGCGCCGTTGCTTGGCAACGGGTAACTTTGGAGATATGAAGTCTGGTAACATCAAGACAGGCGTGGCTCAAACACTCAACCGGCTGACTTATTCCTCTTCACTAAGTAATTTACGCCGCATTCAAAATCCCATCCCTGCCTCCAGCAAAGCCACCAAACCACGCAACCTGCACTGTACCCAGTGGGGTTACATCTGTCCGGTGGAAACCCCAGAGGGTGGCTCTATTGGCCTGCTGAAAAATCTGGCCCTTATGTGCCTTATTTCTCGTGGCAGCGATCATACGGGCGTTGTGCAGGCTGTACAGGCTCGTATTACCGGGTTTCACTCGATTGATCTTCCAGGTCTTGCCGATGTGCGGGTTGCTCGAGTGTTTGTGAATGGCACACTAATCGGCGTGCATCGCGATCCGGAGCGTCTCCTTCGCGAGTTACGTGCTCGGCGTCGTGGTGGGGAGCTTAGCAACGAGGTGAGCATTGT